ACCCCCGCCACCGCCGCTTGTACATATTTGTATCAAAAATCACTGACGTTGCTTTCGGGGTTTTTATTTTTCTAAAAGAGGCGAAATGACGGTCGCGATTAGGAGCTGCGAACTTTCACTTTTTTTGAAGGTTCCGGCGCTCCGAGCGGTTTTATCCGAAATAAACGAACAAACGAGAAAAAAAGAAAAAAAAAACGTATTAAAAAAAAAAAAATAAGCGGGGGAAATTTTAAATATTAAACGAACCGACACCAACAACGAAAAAAAAAAAAGAATTTTGGAGAAAAAAAATCAAAGGAGGAAAACGCTGTCATTCTATTATAGAAGTCTGTTTATATATGAATGAATATATGTATTCCCCCCCTTCCCCCCACTTCTCCGCGGGCGGGAGTTCCCGCAGCCCCTCCGCCGGCCGCCCCCTCGGGGCTGCGGGCTCCGTAAAAAAAAAAAAAAAGCGGGGGAAATTTTAAATATTAAACGAACCGACACCAACAACGAAAAAAAAAAAAGAATTTTGGAGAAAAAAAATCAAAGGAGGAAAACGCTGTCATTCTATTATAGAAGTCTGTTTATATATGAATGAATATATGTATTCTAAATGTTATCCCTTCGTGTTGTACACAACTTTGTAAATAAATTTTTAAAATGCTCTGCCCGTCTTTGTGTGAGAGGCGTATCTTTGAGAGCACCCACCCGAAGGACGAGCCGCGGAGGCTGGAGAACCGCGCGGAGCCACCGCGGAGCTCCGGCCCGCTCCTTCCCGCGGAGGTTTGGGTTTCGCCGCTCTCGGTGGGGTGCGGGAGGGTTTCCCACGGTCCCCCCCTCCGCGTAACTCCCGCCGCTTCGGGATGCGCCTTCCGCGGCGGCGCAACGACCGCCACCGGTCCCGCTGGCTGCACCGCGGAGGGGTCGTCATCGAACCGATTCCTCCAAAATTAAATCCTTCCTGGGCAGATCCGAGACTCCCTCAGCCGTGCCGTAATTTTTCCCTAAATATATTAATTTTTCGCAGCCCGGCTTCGGCTCCGCAGCCCGGCGCTGCGCGATCCTGCCCCTGCGCGCCCGGACTAGGGATGCTTTGGGTTGTCTTCCGCGGCTAATTATAAGGAAAACCGTTTTAAATGAAATAAAACACGCTGGGGCGATCTAAGCAACGTTTGCTATTTATTTAGGCGGGGAAAAAAAATGCGAAGCCGTGGCCGTGCGGTGTGAGAGCGCGGATCTTTCGTTTGGATCGGGAAAATAATCGGTGTCGAGCGGCTCCGCGTTCCCGCGGAAAAAGGAACGGCCTTTCCCGGCTAATTCCTAATAACTTTTAATGAGGGGAAAAAAAAAAAAAAAGGTACATTTGTATGCATTTCGGGGGTAAAAAAAAGAGACAGACAAGAGGAAAATAAAATAATGAAAAAAAAACCTCTGTAGCGCATTACAATATTTAAAAGGCCGCTTTGGGGGTTTCGTCTGGCGGCATCTCGGGTACCGGGCTGGCCCCTGCGCTCACAGCCTTCGAGACTTGGTGCTGTCTCCCTCGCAAAACGTTAAATTTTCGTCGCTTTTGCAAAACCTTTTTTGTCTTTTTTTTTTTTTCTTCTTTTTTTCTTCTTCTTTTTATTTCTTTTTATTTTTTTCCCCCCAGAGCCACTGGATTACATTGTCATTATCACAAGGCACATCCGGCTTATCAAAGTTGTGGCAAACTTTCTGGGGCTGACTTTAAAAATGTCATAGGTCAGGCTCCCACAGAAAAAAATTTTTTTTTTTTTTTTTTTTTTCTGCCCAAATAATGCACTGGCTTTGTTAGGAAAACCGGCGGCGTAAGATGCGGGGCGGGATGCAGCGGGTTTCGCTGCGGGAGGAGCTGGGACGAGGCGTTTGTTTCACCCCCAACACCCTCTGGGAACCGCGGATTTAAAAAAAAAAAAATTTAAAAAAAAAAAAAAAGAAAAAAAAAAAGGAAAAAAAAAAAAAAAGAGGTGTCCTTGCTTTCCCGGTAAGCAGTAAATATTATTTCTTCCTAAGTAAATATTTATACCTCCGCATACATAGACTAAAATAAAACAAGCAGCTCGGTGATTAGATAGTTTGAACTTTATAAATAAGGACTCGCTAATCATCTGGCGCGGGGAGGGAGCACCTGAAGCC